GACTAGGAATCTAGTAGAATTCTGGGAAATGTAGTGAATGGAGTTGTTGCCTTGTGATTCCTGGGAAGAAGGGACACAAGTCTGTGTCCTTGGTAAGGTAAGACCTTATAAAAATATGTATTAGTAATTAGTAGTCAATAATCAAGTCAGAGCTAGCCAATAAAAAGCAAAAGCAAATGGCCAACAGCTTCATAATTAATATAGTGTCTTATGTGTTATTTGGGGGCTCAGATAGCTTGGCAGGGCCCAGGTGGCTGGTGGGAAGACTACTTGTTACACCAATCCTTTTAAAATTATTTCTTTTATTAAAATAGATATTTTTCATACAATATCCTCTAATAGTGATTTCCCCTTCCTCTACTCCTCGAAGTTTCTCCCCAGCTCCCTTCCCATCTAGACCCACACACTTTCTGTCTCTTGTTAGAAAACAAACAAGTATTTAAGAAATAATAATAAAATAAAATATAATACAAATGAAATTGGAGTAAGACATAAAGACAAAGCAAGAAAAAGAGGCAGCCTGGTGTTGGTGGCACAAGCCTTTAATCCCAGCATTCGGGAGGCAGAGGCAGGCGGATCTCTGTGGGATTGAGGTCAGTCTGGTTGGTCTACAGTGCAAGTTCCAGGACAGCCTCCAAAACAATATAGAGAAACCTTGCCTCAGAAAAAGAAAAAGAGGCAAAGAAAAAGCACAAGAAATGCATATAAACACAATAACACACATAGCAATCCCATAAAAACACAAAATCAAAATTTATACACACACACACACACACACACACACACACACACACACATACCCCTATAAGGTATTTTTAAAAAATGCCTAAGTTAACATTATTAGACAAAGAACCCCTGAGATGCTATTGGGTTCCTTTTGTGGTCATCTGCTGTTGGGCATGGGCTTACCCTTAAAGAGTGTTTTGTTTTCCTGGTATACTCCCTAGAAGAAAACTAAATTTTCATTTGCTACTGGCTATCAATTAGCTTCTGAATTAGGAATGAGGACTTGTGTTCACTTATCCTTTCAGATCTAGAACCTTATGTGGGGTGCAGACCCTTGCAGGGGCTGTGCATGCTGCCATGGTTTCTCTGAGTTCATACGTTTGCCAGCCCTGTTGTGTGTAAAAGGCCTTGACTCCATCTATCCTGGCTTTTGCACTCTTTCTGCCTCTTCTTCCACAGAGTTTCCTGAGCCCTGAGGGTAAAACTTAGATGGAGATATCTCTTTTAGGGCTGAGTGTTCCAAGGTCTCTCCCTCTTTGCTTATTCTAGGTGAGGGTCTCTGTATTTGTTCCCATCTGCTGCTGGAGGAAGTTCTCTGATGATGGGCGAGAAAGACACAGATCTATGAGTATAGCAGAACATCATTAGAAGTCATTTAATTGCTATTATTCCTTAGCATAACAGTAGTATTTGGTTTTCCCATGGAGCCCCAGGCTATCTAGTCTCAGTTTTTTTGGCCATCCAAGCAGTGTTGGGAATGGGTTCCATCTCAGTCAGATATTGGTTAGTTCCTCCCATAAACTTTGTACCACTTAATCATAATTCTGATGGGTTTGATTTCATAAGTGATTAGTTTTTGTTTTGAGAATGTCTACTAGATTAAACACACATATAAATGCTCCTAATACCAATTATTTTTTTATTGCAGAAATGTTCCTAAATTTAGTTGCTTATTTTTGGTAGGTGCTTAGATTTAGATAAAATTTTGGAAGCCAACTGATTTTAAATCTAACTAGTCCCAGAAATTTCCTCAATATTTTTTCATGCAATCACCCAGATTTTGTTGAACAATCTTTGATGAAAATGAACTTCACTCCTCGAGAGAGCTGCTCTTTCGCTGAGGTGAACCACCAGAACTAAGAAATGTTTTTCCTTTAGAAGATTATGTAAGCTAATTGTTGAGCAAATGTTTAGCTTGTAACCTATGCTCCTCGGTATCTGTGAGTGTATATATACACACCGGGGCCTCACCAATTCAGTTGGGCTGCCTGGTTAGTGAGACACAGAGATCCACCTGGATCAGTGCTGGGATTACAAGCACAAATTCCATATTCATTTATTTTATTTTTTTAAATGTGGGTTCTTGGAATTGAACTCAGGATCCCATGCAGACACAGCAAACACTTTCTTCAGTGAGTTTTATCTCCAGCTCAAAATTTACTTTTGAGTTTTTTTTTAATTTTATTTTCCAGTTTAAATTTAGATAAGAATCAAGGTTGCTTCACAAGTCAGTTCCAGGTCCCTCTCCCATTCCCTCCCTTCCTCCCGTGCCCTCCCCTACCCCCCCCCCGTTATCCTCTCATTTCTCCAGGGAGGGTGAGGCCCTCCATGGGGGTGTCCATAGTGTGTCATTTCATATAGGGCAGGGCCTAGACCCTTTCCCAAGAGTTCAGGGTGAGAGTGCACCTCACATTGTTCTATTGGAGTCCAAAGTCCGTGTGTATACTTGGGATGGGTACTGATCTGCTGCCCAAGGCTCAATAGATTCCCTAGGCCTCTTCACTGACACCCAGATTCAGGGGGTCTTGATCAGTCCCATGCTGGCTTCCCAGGCTAATGCCTGGGATTCAAGAGTTAACCTTTGTCTGGTCAGCTGTTTCTGGGGGTTAAACCAGCCCAGTCTTAATCCCTTTGATCATCAGTCCTCCCTCTCTGTTACTGGCTTTCTTGAGTTCAGCTCAGTACTTAACCAAGGGAGTCTGCCTCTTCTTCGATCAGCCACTAAATAAAGTTTCTGTTTCCCAGACTCTCTGGCCATAGGATTGTAGGCTGGCACTCCCCAGATCTATGTCTAAAATCCATATATGAGAGAGTACATGCCATGTTTCTCTTTTTGTGACTGGGTTACCTCACTCAGGATGGTTTCTTCTAGTGTCATCCATTTGCCTGCGAATCTCATGATTCCATTATTTTTTTTTTGAGTTTTTAATTAAATACAAACGTAAAAAAATATAGAAAGGGAAGAGAAATGAGGCAAGATCCTCTGAACAGATGGGAACACGGCGAGGGTTGGGGGGGAGGGGGACCTGGGAAATAGAGAGGGGGAGAAGTGGAAGAGAGAGTAGGATGTGGAGGAACAGGAAGGTCGACTGGGGGGTGTAGGATAGGGGGAAGAGGCAATCATAGGGTAGAAGACAGATCAGGCACCATTGTGAACTCTAGTGATCTAAACGGATGACACCATTTAGAAAGCTAAGCAATAGTGTAGAGACCACCTCGAATGCCCATTTCTGATAGTGAACTTGATGTCTATAACCATCTGGGAGCCTTCATCCAGTGACTGATAGAAGCAGAGACAAACACCCACAGTTAAATACTGAACAGAACCCAAGGAACCCAGCGACAGAGAGAGAGGAACGAAGAGCAAATTGGCAAAGAATGGGCTGGCCAAACCAGCAGAGACAGCTGATTGGAACAGAGGAGAGCTCTTGGACCCCAGACCAACAGCTGGGAAGCCAGCATGGGACCTATCTAGACCCCCTGAATGTGAGAGTCAATGAGGAGGCCTGGGCTACCTATGGGGTCCTGAGCAGTGGATCAGTGTTTATCCCTCGAATACTAACAGAGATCGTGTGTCCATAACACAAAGAGGGTTGCTCTCTCTGCCTGGACTCTTAGGGAAGTGCCTGGACCCTACCCTGAGTGAAATGATAGACTCTAGATATCCCCTATGAGGAAGGAAATGGCAATAGGGTGGGAGGATGGGGGAGGGGATGGTGGGAGGAGGGGAGGGAGAGGGAACTGGGATTGACATGTAAAACAAGCTATTTAAGATTAAAATTAAAATAAATAAATAAATAAACAAAAAATATAGAAAGGAAAACACATGCAGGGTTCTGAATCAATTCATGTTTAGCAAATGAGGAAAAAGGGAAGGGAAGAGTGAAGGGCAGATCCTGTTCAAGATGTAGACTTACATTCTGCAATGTTGCCAGTTCCCCTTTCCTGGTCCAGACGGTGATTATCATGGGTATGGCATATTGATGCTCCAGGAGTTTTCTTTCATTTTACTTTAAAACAATTATATATGCTACTATTTCTGTGGTCTTCCACATTATTTTGTTATTTTAAAAATAAATGTGTTATTGGTGGGAACCAGAAGTAGGACTTAATGCATTTGTTAAATGAACAAACCACACAGTGAAATTGAGATTTAAAATAAGTCCACTTTATAGTCAATTGTTTCCCTTGAGTTTTCTTAGAGTATTTATCTTTTCATTTGTGATGTTTACTATTTTAACCACAGTTTGAATATCATACACTAACTTTCTATTATTTAAATTGGTTAATAAATATGATTATATATATTACATTATATATGACTGTATATATTATATTGGACTTTACTTAGCATTACTTGATTCTGTGACATGGTTCCATACATGTTCACACTTAGTTTCATGAAGTCACTTAGGTCTCTGTTATGGGGACTTTATCAGCAACTGAAAGAAAGATGGATATATATATATGTATATATATATACATATATATATAAACAAACACAGATAGAGGAGGGGTGAGGGAGAAGAGCTTTCTCAATCAGCCTGCACATCTTCCTTTGGTTTTTAAAAATCTCTTCTTAAAAAATACATATTTTGATAAATAGCATTTTAGAACTTTAATGAATTTGCTCTACAGTCTGTCAAATAAATGTTATCTTTGAAGTGGCTTCTAACATAGGAATAAACTCAAATATATCTGTTATGTGATGACATGTGTACTCACACACATATAACACATAACACTTATGCAGAGACACCCTCCCCTTGAGGCTTCCTGTAAATAACTAGTTTAATGCTGTCCTCACAGGATGCACCAAGGGAGTGTCAAGCTGGACGCTGCCTCAGTTAGAGAGCTTGATTATAGGTGACAAAACATGCCCAGCCTGCCTTTAGAGTCTGGCTACAAGTTCTCTTATTAGAAAACTAATTAAAATAAATTGTTCTGGATCATCCTTCAGCAATCATAACTTCCATAAATAATTAGGCAGAAAAGATTATAAAAGAGTTTATTTGAAATAAAATGCGGCAAAGATTTGTGTATAATCTTTCCAAGATTTGGTTACATTTTCCAATCCTGTTCTGTCAAACAATTTGCTTTAATTCAGACATCATGATTTACTTCAAGAAGAGCAAAGTTTTCATTGTGGTGTCTTGAATGTCTCTCATCTCCAGGTATAAGTAGTTAGCTTTTGGAGGGTGGCTGTGACACATAGGTGATTATGTACAACCAATCTTTAGCTATACTGGGAGTCTATAAAAATCAGGATCATTTTTGAATATGGCTACATAGATTGGTGTGGCTTTAGGCTTTAAATTGATTCTGTTTAATTTGTACTCCTTGATGATAGTGGTTGCATGTGTGAGTGAACATGTGTGCTTGTGTGTGTGTACGTGTGTGTGTATATGAGAGTCAAAGAGAGACAGAGACAGTGAAAGACAGAGAAAGATAGACACAGAGACAAGAGAGACAGAGAAGCTATGAGTGTGAGATCCTTCTGTCTCTAGAACAGAATATTAAGCCATTTAATCTTTACCTTTGCAAACCAGCTCTTTACCTCTCCATCATCATTCACTTCTAACTTGCACTTACATTTTGCTGTTGAGCTTAAGGTTATTCTAAAAAATAATACCAACGGCAGAAAGTTGGTAGTAGGAATTTCTTTCCAACAAGTCTTGTGGTTGCAAAGATAGCTGAGAAGGCAGTGTGGATTCATCACCTCAGCCTCTTTATGGAGGATATATGTCCTCTCCTCTATGTAGATAGAACATTTAAAATTAAAATTCACCATTAAAACTACTTTTACGTCTGCTGGTTTCACTTTGAAACAACTAATTTAGCTCCAATGTTCAATACCCAGGGATATCCTGGGAGATCTGTATAGGGGTGTGATCTTGTCAAATAATTAGGCTGGTTACAGGTTTTACAATTTTTGTACAGTAGCTTCAACTTCTAATGTTAGGATTATGTTTATGTATAAAATATTGACTATCCAAACATTCTTAACCTCTGAGCCATCTCTCCAGGACCAGACTATCCAGACATTCTAAACAGAATCTTCGTTCCTATCCTCACACAGCTCTTTTATTCATACTATGCTCAGACTTCTATGTACTACCAGCTTCAGTGGGACCTCTTCAGAGAACACCCCCAACCCTTCTCCCTTATCCAGGTTCCTTGACTCAAGGCACTTTATTTCTCACCATTACAACTTGCCATGCCTATAATAAAATTATTAACCCTATAGCTAGTCTAACATATTTCGTCTTTTACTTAGCCATAATACAATGCAATGCTCACATGGTTTCTCCTGAGAAAGTAAAATTCCATATTGACAAAGAAATATTAAATACTGTTTGTTAAGGCATATTTCTGTAGTAATATGTTAAAATGAGACATTTCCGGTTTCCTTTGCAGTTGAATCTGAGTCAGGTACATTTGCACACAAACTTCACAGCACTTTCGTGGCACTAGACTCCAGTTTGCTGGCGAATCCAGTCGCGGTAGGTTGTCACTCGCGTGTACACTCCTGGTTTATTTGGCAGGCCGCACTGATATCCCCAGCTTACAATCCCCACAACAAACCAAAGCATCCGTGAGTCTTCCTGTACTAGTGGGCCACCAGAATCACCCTGAAGAAAACCAAGTAATTGATTATTTCAGTGCAAAAGCAACACTGAAATCTTCAGTTTATTTCTATGGCAAGTACAGGAAGTCCTAGCCATTAACCCAGCCTATGTCTTTCTGAGAGGCAATAAGAAAAAAATTACTGAAATCCTTCAAGTATACAAGCAAGACTGAGAAGGTACGAAGCTCATCAGCTGGCCTTCCTTCAGTTACTTCCTGGTTGCTTCCTCTTCTCAGGCTTCCACTCTAGGAAGTCGTCTATGAGCCATTGTTTTCCTTTGTACTTCTTCTGTCTTGGGGCTCTGTTAGAATGAGACTGTGATTTCATTCTGTGGTATCTATGTTGCCTGCTTCTTTGACATTTTAGGAACGCTTGCTTATTCCCACTAGTCAGCTCTCCTTGAGCTAGCACTCTGTATACACTTGGCCAGCATCTTGTGTGAGCAGTGCTATTGTACAGTTCACCAGGGACAGGAGCATCCTTGTTCTGGACACTGCTGCAACATTGGTTTCTATCCCATAACAGATGCTCAAGAAATAACTTTTGGGTGAATGAGTTTATAGACTTGTCACTTACCGACCTTTCTTTACTACTCAGTATGATGCTTAGTGTATCATCTGCCAGTGTTCTTTTGGTGAATAATTGAAAAGAAATTTTTATGACAGTAAGCAGAGCATTTCTTATGAGATATTTACCAGCCAATGGCAATAATTGCTGCCTAAAACCCAGTTACACATGCAATAACCCAGTTAGGGAGATAAATTAGAAGATACTGTATTATGAGTTAATTCTTTGAATTCTGGAGCTAGATAACCTGAGCTTGAATCCTCCACTTGTCAGCTGTGTGGACTCCAGTAAGCTCTTTAACAACTCTGCACTGCAATTCTCTTATCAATAAATGAAGTTTTTATGAGTTTAACACACAAAGCTCTTTGGGAAATGCTTGGTGTACAGTGAGTACTAATAAAACCCAGCTATTATTACCAAACGTATGTCTAGAAAAGTTAGCTATTCATTTGGCTGCTCTTAGTAGTTAGGTTTTTTTCCATACCTATTTAATTAATAGTTTAGATGGAGAGAAAGGTCAGTACATGAATCACCAACTTGCTTGACAAGTACTGCATGGAGCTGGCTGGTACCTCATTCCTTTGGATAATGTATTCATGCTCCATTTGACTGGTCCTCAGGATTTTGTTGTTTTTGATACTATTTTTCTATACTGACAAAGTTTTCTGAAGTGTAGTTTATCCACTATATATAAGCAAATGTTAACTATGAGTGCCACGTAACTTTTATTGTAGCTAGTTAGTTTTGCTGCCTAGTGGCAGATGGTTGAACTTGCATTCTTTTTCCTAAACCTGATGAGTTCAGGGAACATTTAGTTTCATTAACACAGGGAATATTACACAGAAATGAAGAGATAGATGTATTTTTGAATGAATGTATGAAATTGATGTTATAAACTTCTATGCAAAATATTATTTATTCATTATATCTTTTGAACAGAAAATCTGTGTATTAAAGTGTTTCAAGTAATGACCAGTAAGGCCTGGAGTGGTACCAGGGAAAATTTCACGGCAATGGCATCATGAACCGGCTTGAAATGAAGACCAGACTTTGTATACATCGAAGCTGAGGGAGGACATGGGAGAGGGAAACCAAAAAGAACATTTTAAATGTTGTCCCCTCAAGCTGTTGTAACCAATACTTTCAGTAGATCTGAAATTGTCAACCTGGGTGACTCTCTGACTACTGAGTTTTTATTTTTATTTTTGAGATAGGGTTTCTCTGTGTATCTTTGGAGGCAGTCCTGGAACTAGCTCTTGTAGACCAGGCTGGTCTCAAACTCACATTTACTGATTGTTTTGGATATTTAAAATTTCCCAGGCTAGAGACAAAGTTCTTTTCATTTCCTTTTTCCCCTTTCCTCTCCTTTTCCCTCCTTCACTCCCCTCCCCTCCCGTTTTCTTTCTTTTCTTTATATAATTTAGAATCACTTGTGGTTCAAATAACTAAGATATTGTATAAATTTTCTATTTTTAAAGTACTCCAAAAATTAGGTATTTTTGGTGGTTACATGTTACAGTATTTTATTAATCAGACTGAGTATGAGGAGTGTTTACACATAAAACAGTATAAGTTAAAATTAATTACTATTTATAAAATTTAAACAACTGGTTATTTTTTATTGAGGATTTATCATTATATACATTTGTAGAATAGGAAATGATTCTATGATTTATGGGTAAAACACCAAATACTAAAAATCAAGCTAGCAAACATTTCTACTTCAAAACCTTAACATTGTTCCTTGTGATAAAAACATAAAAATTTACTTCCTAGAAAGTTTGAAATATATCATACTTTATCATCAGTTGTATCCACCATGTTGTATAATATTGGTTTGACCATTGATAGCAATTAAAAATTAAAAGTTATTATTTTCATGACAGATGACATCCAAAAAAGATTTTTTCTTTATATTAAGGGCATACCTGTTTTGAGGTTCAGAGTTGTGTGTTGTAATTGTTGCTATATTTATGTTTGTCATGGGGTGATGTGCTTGAAAAATGCCTATAAACTTCTTGACGATGACAATGATAAGGTTGTCTTGTACTTACTTGGCACGCATCCACAGCACCTGAAGGCACTCCAGCACAGAGCATTCCAGGCAAGACGCTTCCACTGTACCCAGCTGGTTCATTGCACTCGTCGGTACTTACTATTCTGACCTGTCCTTGCCGTAGATCGGTGACTGTGTTGCCTATTCAGTGTAAAACCAGAAATGAAACAGACTTCAGAAAATATGAATTTATGACTCTATGCTGAATTTGAGAATTAGAGTAAATACTCAAAACACGTCTATTTTAAAAGGAAGGCACGAGAAGATCTGCGTATGTATTTCTTCTGAGTGAAGATTCCTGTAGGAGAGAAGGGCTAACTTCCTTAGGGAGACAAGTTTCCCTCTTCTTTTTCTTTTTGAGTTTGTGATCTATTTTCCTTTTTACAGTTAGAGTTAATAAATAAATGTTAATAAATAAATTGTTGGATGTGGTGACACATGCCTGCTATAAAATCAACCTAGTATGTCAAGATACTTGGGTCAAAAGAACATAGTGAAATACTTTCTGGGGCAGTTAAGACCTTTATTAGTCCCTAGAGAAGTAATCACTACCATGATTGTAATAGCCCAAGGAAATCACCAATTTCCTCTCCCACTTCACACCTGGAAGTGCTATTTTTTTTCTTGGCTTTAATTGTTCTTTCAAGTTGTGTTTATTTTAATTTCTACCTTATTCATTCAACAAATGAATATGGCCAATATTTATCTCTACGTGGAGTTCCTTGCTGTGGCTGAAAGATTCATTTCATCCCAGAGTAACTTCCAGGCAGTACCCTAAGGGGTGTTAAATTCCCAGCTCATATTTGTTTAGCTTCCTTTCCTTCACAGAATAGAATAGACTTCCTTTCTTTTTTTTCCTTTTTGGTTTTTCCAGACAGGGTTTCTTGGCTGTCCTGGAACTAGCTCTGTAGCTCTGTAGACCAGGCTGGCCTTGAACTCACAGAGATTCTCCTGCCTCTGCCTCCCAAGTGCTAGGATTAAAGGCAAGCACCACTACCACCTGACCAGACTGTTTATATTAATAAGGAACATACTGAAGGGGTTCTAATGAACCCAAACTGCAGCAAACATGGCTCTGGAAAGTTTTGCCTTTCTTCCCCATTCCCCCTGCCTCGCTACAAACTGTTAGGCTACATCCCTAAAGCTAACCCCCAAGGTCCATTCCCTTATTCCCTCCTCTTGAGACTGACTACCAAGGTCCAGCTACAAAAGTATAGAAGTAAAATAATCAAAATCCCCCTTTTTGCCACCTTAATTAACATGTCCAATCAAAATTAACTAACTCATCCTAACATAGGTTCCAATTTCCCTTTATAAACAGCCATTTGCCCATGGGTCTCATGGGTATCCTCTATCCAGGGTCAGTCCTTTGCTCCTTTGAAACAAATATATCTTTACCCTCTCCTTGCTCCTTTCCATTGTTCTCCTCCCCTTCTCCTTCATTCTCTATCTCCTGTCTTTGTCCCTTATCCCTGCTGTTTGTCCTCTGGGACAAATAAATTTCCTTTGTGCTAAGAATTTGGTCTTGGGTTGTCTTGAGCTGACTTTGATGTCCCTATGCTTATGCTTCTGTATTCTTGTCTTTCGAATTTTCCTATTATAGAAATTCTCTGTCTAGAATTCTCTATGGTTTCTAAGGGTATTGCTTGTTTTGCATTCCTGAGGGAACAACTGTAGTAGAGTCAGGGATGACCAGATATAGATGGATCTGTATTAGAGGCTATCCTCAGGCTGTTTCTACATCTAAGAATTTACAAAGATGGACATAGTGACATGTCCATATTCCCATCATTTGGGAGGTTGAAGCAGAGGATTATGAAGTTGAGGCCAGCCTGGGATACATAATGAATTCCAAGCCATCCTGAATTATAGTGAGACCCTGTGTCAAAACTCGAAAACAAATTTCCATAGTAACAAATAAGAGAAGATTTGTCGTTAAGCTATTTATTTTCCAGAGACACTTACCTCCATAAGTGAGCGACCCCCATCCTGTGACATATGCAATAGAACCAGGTATGATACTTTGGGTCGCAGCTGGGAGACACACCCTGTGGATATTTCTGTTAAAGGTGATAGGTCTTTCAAGTTGTACAACTGCAATATCATTATCACGAGTTGTAGGTCTGTAATTGTTATGGGATACAATAGACCTTACTCTTACTCTTAAGATAGGACGTATTGTAGAAACACCAAAGGTGGCAGTCCATTGTAGAGGATTAGAGTAGCTAAAAATAAAAAAACAAGAATATGCTATTAGATAGCAAATTCACGAGTTCTTCGTATATTTGTATTTTGACTTCTATTTTCATAATATTAGGTCTTTGGAAATATCATATAATGTGTTTTGTATTTAACAACACCATCTCATTGATACATATTCCTGAACTGTAATCTCGGACCTGTATTGAACTCTTTACTAGCAGCTTAAATGGTCATTCTCTTCTAACTGCAGAGAGGAAGATTTTTTAGAAAGCACATCTTGGAGTAATAAATTATCTTGACTTCTTTCTGTCCCAGTGAGCATATCCTAACACTACAGTTAATGAAAATTAGTGTAGGGGAATGTTATTATTTATTCTTCCCTGATATTCCCATTCAAGCAACAATGGATTTTGAAATTGTTATCTTTTCTATTTTAAATCATTCCCTTTGACTTGTTTTTATCTCTTGTTTTTAAGAAGGAAGAGCTATTCAAATAGAAGGGAGGTTGAAGGCTATTGTTTTTGTTAATAGATGAATAATTGTTCTGTATTAAATCTGATGCATGTTATGTATATAAATACTATGCAAGTGTGTACATATTTATATAGAGATAATTTTCTAACATAAAATATAGGAAATTATTATTGTACCTTGGCAACTACTTTTTTAGATAAAGCATAAAAACACATATGTAAGGTAAAAAATGAATAAGTTTTATTAAGTCAAAATCAAGTACAATATGCACCACAAGTTTATCAGGTAAATGAGAAACCACAAGAAAGTACTGGTAATGCTTAATATTTTGAGATAGTCTCATACATCCCAGGCTTGGTTAGAACTTGCTAGATGGCTGAGGGTTATCTTGAACTCCAGATCCTTTCGTTTCTGCATTCCAAGTGCTGGTATCACATTGACCCCAATCTAAGGTCATGTCTACAAGTTTTGCAGGCTGTACAGTAATGTCTGTAAACCAATAGTAAATGAACTGGAAAGCCATTGTAGAATGGGCTTAAAATATTAATAGGAAATTCATGGATAGGGAGACCAAAACACTTCCTAAATGTAAGAAGAGGTGCTCAAACCCACTGGTTATCAAGCAATAGAAATTATAACAATGAATACTTAATATATATTAATAAAAATGATAAAAATTAATCAAGACCACATTACCAAATATTGGTTAGGCAGAAAGTTGGACCTCTTGTACTTCTGGACAACTAAACATTTGTAAAGCTTTATGGTATGTTTATCAAGTTGCATATGTAATGGGGGTGTTCTTCTGTATATATGTTTCTCTTATTGGTTGATGAATAAAACACTGTTTGGTCAATACAGGAAGGAAGATAGGCAGGACTAGGAGATGAGGGGAATTCTGGGAAAGGTAGGCAGAGAGAGACTGTAGAGAGATGCCATGTAGAGACTGCGAGGATAGGATGTGCCAGGCATTTTCTGGTAAGATAAGACTATGTAGAAATACATAGATTTATAGACATTGGTTAATAGTTAAGACAGATCTAGCCAATAAGAAGCCCTAGCCATTGGCTAAGAGTTTTATAATTAATATAAGTCTTTGTGTACTCACTTGGGGCTGAGAAGGATGGCAGGACCTGGCAGAAAAAGAAACTTCAGCAATACATATGCACTTCTGGCTACAAATCAGAAAGACTTCAAAGGTTTATTGATAGTATTATTCCTTTGTGTGTATGTACTTGTGCATGTCTGTGGCAGGTGTTCTTTGTGGCAGTGGGAAAGTGTAGAAACTTAGGGAGAGGAGATAAATATGATGACTGCTTATGGTGGACTCATGTGCAGCAGTGGCTCAAAAAGATAAAAATTCCCTGAATCCCAGGCATCAGCCTGGGAATCCAGCATGGGACTGATCAAGACCCCCTGAATCTGGGTGTCAGTGAGGAGGCCTAGGTAATCTATTGAGCCTTGGGCAGCAGATCAGTACCCATCCCAAGTATACACACGGACTTTGGACTCCATTAGAACAATGTGAGGTGCACTCTCACCCTGAACTCTTGGGGAAGGGTCTAGGCTCTGCCCTATATGAAATGACAGACTATGGACACCCCTATGGAGGGCCTCACCCTCCCTGGGGGAACGAGGGGATAACGGGGGGGCGATGGGGGGAGGGCACGGGAGGAGGGGAGGGAAAGGGAGAGGGACCTGGAACTGACTTGTGAAGCAACCTTGTTTCTTATCTAAATTAAAAAAAAAAGAATAAAAAAAGATAAAAATTCCCATGATTGGGTTAAAACCACAAAGAAAATGCACTTATAATTCTCTCCATTCACAGCTCAACAAGCAATGGATCTCTAGTTTGTATGATTTCTATCCTTTAGTTCAATACACTGGTGGAAGGGACAAGTATTCTCACAGAAAACAACAAAGATAACTGAGAAAAGTAACAAATTGCCACAAAATTAAGAAAATACCATGAGGAGATGGCAATAGAGTCTCATCACATCTTTGTTCCTGGATGTAAGCTGGTACCTGGCCATCCCTCAACAAGCCCCTGCCCATGGTTCTCAGTGATAATCAGATTACTAGAGAGGGTACCAGGATATGGTCCATACAGTTTTTCAGCTCTGGCAGTATGTTTGTGGTGGCAAAATTCAAAGATGTTTCCTGCATGACTTTGGTAGTCACTGTTGATACTTGTGATTGTACATTTCAAAATAGTGACATCATTTCCTTGGTTTTTGATACCTAGGTTCTAACAGAACACAGATCTAATCCTGTTTCTGGTGCATCCTTGATTACACTAAATGACTGCTAGGTCCAGGTAGGTGTTTACACTTTTGCTATCCACACTCAGGGTCTGACTGAGAACTGGCATTTCAAGTGACATTGATGACTGTAATGGTCCTGTGAATTTTGTCTCTCACCTGAAGTGCAGCAGCAAGTATGCCTATTTAAAGCAGAATCATATGAATTTAGTGGGATCTCTGAAATAAAATTTAAATTATTCCTAACACTGAGTTATAAAACAGCAGCAGAAAGATTTAGAAAGATGTGAGGTTTCCTAGAACCTTCGTTCAGCATGCTTGTTATCTTCATGTTTATTTCTTCTTAATTTAATAAATGGGCTTGTAAAAAAATAACCACAGTAATAAAAGACAGTGCTCTCAGATCTCAATAGATCTCTTTGGAATTGTGAATATCCTAAAGAATACCAGTATGAACAAACAGGGATATGGAAAAGATAACAGTTTAGGAAAAAACTTCACTTGAGAAGATCCAGATGAGAAACATTCTGCAATCCTGAAGCTTAGTATAAATAGTTGTGGAAACACGTTAGGACTGATTTGAGTGAGGGTAGATTTATGATAAGGATGCTGTACTGATGGGAAAAGACTGAAAAAAGAATAGAGATAGTTAGGGACATGCCAGGTTTACTATTCTGGATGATTTTTTTTTGAGTTTAGTCTCCCCACATTTTTTAGGCCTTGGATGTCCAGTACCAACATATGTCTGAGAGGAGAATGTTTCATCATGTTGAACACACAACAATTCTTTATTAGGAGCAGTGTGAACTTCACCTTGTACCAACAGAATCAGTTTGCACAGTTGCTCTCCAGCAGTCACTTACCCAAGTGTAAGTAATAGCCTGTACCACTTTAAATGTCTAGTTGTACATGGCCTAATATAACCACTCTGAAGGAGTAGCACTGCTGTTTGTATTTGGTGCTTCTGTGATGCATAATATTGAATTCCATATAGGCATTAAATCAATTTTGGAAAATTAAATTAGTGAGATTTTCTAGTCTGTAGGCTGACCATCAGTCTACTAATTAGCTTCTGTGAAAATCCTTTACAACAAAATATTAAAAATTATCTTATTTCATTTGATGTATATAAATGTTTTGCCTGAATGTATGTATGTGTATCATATACATGTCTGCTACCTGCAGAAGTCAGAAAAGGGTGGTGGATGCTGTGGAGCTAGAGCCACCATGTGGGTGCTTAAAATTGAACCTGAATTCTCTGAAAGAGCAACATGTGCTTTTAATCAATGAACTGCATCCCCAGCTTGGACCACAACAACTTAACATTTAAGAAAGGACTTTGGACTCCCATAGAACAATGTGAGGTGCATTCTCACCCTGAACTCTTGGGGAAGGGTCTAGGCCCTGTCCTATATGAAATGACAGACTATGGACACCCCCATGGAGGGCCTCACCCTCCCTGGGGGAATGAGGGGATAACGGGGGGGTGGGGGGAGGGCACGGGAGGAGGGGAGGGAATGGGAGAGGGACCTGGAACTGAATTGTGAAGCAACCTCGTTTCTTATCTAAATTTAAACTGGAAAATAAAATATATATAAAAAAATGGAAAAAAAGAAATTCAATATTGTAATCAGTCCTACTAGTAACATCAACACTTAGATAGTAGAGTTGCCACTAATTTGAAAACAGAGTGAAATTATGTAAATTCTATGAACTTTTAGAGCAAGGATTTAAGTTAAGCATGCCAGCATGTGATCTTTTTTTCTTTGCTATGTTGGAGCACTGTCATTTGAAAAAGAGAACTATCAGCAAATCATCACACCAAAGGAGAGCTTCCATAAATAAAAAAGACTCAGAAATAATTTCCATTGAAATTTATGTGTCAACCAAATCATGTTTAGTCCTGGGGGTAGTGGGTGGAGTCTTCCTGTAGCTGTCTTTCCTAATTATTGCCAGATGGAAGAGTAGCTGTGGACTCACCTTCTGAAGCAGTGAGCTGCTGTCAGGACCCACAAGTTACTGATCAGGATACCTCCACAGTGGTGGACATTATTGAGTTGTAGACTGACTTGCCAGGGCCAGTCACCTGTTTCAGCTAGAGTGCCTCCAATAACTCTCTCTTCTGACAGTGTTATAAGGTCTGGACGGGCTCCACATTCTAACAAGAAAAAAGTATTAACATGCTGGCAAAGGGATGGTTCCTTCCATTTAAAAATTACTGTGAGGATTCTCCATCAGTATGATTTTTCCAACCTTTTCCTAAAAAGTGTTGGATGTTCCAAATGTATGACCATTTATTTTATTTGAGGCAGGGCCTCATATAGCCCAGGACAGCTTCATACTCTCTCTACTTATGATCCCAATTCTATCCTTCAAGTGCTGTGATTATAGGCATGTATAATATTTGTATATCTGGTTCAGTATGCTATATTTTTAGAGTACAGTTATGTATATGGGCTGCATTATAGAACACATTTCTGAACTTGATTGAATAAGGCCATCAAATTCTTGAGCAGCTTCAGAATGGTTTGGGATACTTTGTAAGTATGGTCTAACACAGGTCAGTTCTGGATATGCCACCATAGGTCACAAACTCTTGTAAGATTTCCTTTTTTTCCTAGGTACTCAAAATATAACCCATGGCCCTATAAAATGATTACTCCTGAAAACTTGTTGGAAATACTGACTTTCAGTCCCACACCATGGAACAAGTCACAAACTATTATTTAGAGGAAAGATTCATGTACATAGTGAAGTTAGAATAAAACCGTTGTATCCAGAAGCCCCCTAAGTGGGCTTTGTAGCTCATCATGGATGCTCTAGTCCTCTTTATCTGGCTATGTATAAGTAACAGTACCTTTGAGAGGAATTGACTATTACAGAGGTTCTAATTGCTAGAATATAGTTTTAGGCCTAGTGAGATCACTCTATGGTAAAGGAGCCTACCTCCAAGACTTACAATGTAAATTTGATTCCTGGGACCCAAAAAATGGAAGGAGAGACCTGACTTCCCTTTATAGTCATGCCATCGCATGTGCGTATGGACACACATACTAAAATATAGTTTAAAAATAGAATAAAATTTATTTAAATATTTCAAGAAACCTACAAACATTTCAGTGACAGGCTAAATGGACTGGAATGGGTTAATTTCATCAGCCCTCAACCAAAAGCCTTACAATATTTCTTCTTGCAGTTAGTCTAATGTTTATTAGTAATAATAGAGGTATACCACTAATAATAATTTTTATTGCTGGTTGATAATTTCTTACAAATTTCCCAATAAAAGAGGATTAGACTTTCATTAATAAATATACATGGGTATGGGTTCTTTTCCTACCTTTTCCAAATAAATTCCTTAGTGATTATTTTATTACAGATTTGTTCAAAAATAGTTGTAAATTAAACACAGAACTGAGTTGAAGCACCTTTTAAAATCTCTTAAGCATCTAAAATAAATCATAAATCCAAGTACATGGAACTAATTTCTAACTACATTTGGCTGATCTGAGAAGTAAATTTAATGTTTCTAGGAGTTCTATGTCTGTCCTCTTGGTCTAAAAGTGTATCCTGACTGGCACTGGAACATGACTTTCCCTTCAAGTTATAGGCTGCAAACTGACAATACATTTTACAATTTATTACCTTATGATTAGCCCAAATCCACAACAAAGCAAGGCACTCTGGTGGTTCAAAAAAGCTACATGAATATTGTCATCAAACATAATTTACAATTCTACAGAAACACAGCTTTAGAACCACAGGAACAAAGCTTCCCTGAACTGCCAAGAAAATTTCCTGGAGCTTGGGGTTGAGCGTCAAGTGGATTATACTCAACTGTGGTTCCATTCTTTTTCTTTTTTTCTAGAAGAAGGAGAAATTTACATAAACATTATGATATCAGCAGTTTGAAGATGGGTGCCTGCTTTCTACAAGAACCCTGTAGAGAGAACTCAGTATTAAGGTACCAACTTCACAGATAAGGCTTTGGCAGAGAACACAAAAACTTGGATATTAAACCCTAAAAATTGATAAATACTTACAGAAAAATTAAAAACACTTACCTTGAGTCAAAAAATTTTCTGTATCTTGGTCAGTGAGTGCTAGTGTTAAAAAAGAAAGAGTGAGAATAAGATCAACAAAATAGAAGCTGAAAATCATTTCACCTTGACTTCATGAAGCTCAGTGCTAAGGCAACAGGAAACACAGTCACTGGGAGGGTTTGCTGAAATTCAGATTCCCAGGCTCCACCTCAAGCCTTTGCAAAGAACCTCTGAGTCATGTGCCCTAGAAATCTCTCTTTGCAACCTCATCCTAGTTTGTTGTTGCACACAAATTGCTGGAAGATTGTGCTTACATTCTTCATGAAACTTACCAGGTGCTTGTAGTAGACATAAACCATAAACCTAGAGACATTTTAAGGCTAGCAGAATCTACTGACAATATTAGTGATAAGATGTGTGGGAGGGAACAAATTCAAAGGTCACTCATTTCTCTTGGCAAAAGAAAGGCTTAAACAGTCACTAGTGTTCAACATGTTATCACATAGAAGCTAATCATTCATTTTTCAAATACACCTTTGAGTAGACGCTGGCATATGCATGTATTATTTTACTAATGCTATATTATGTGCTGTTTCTTCAAGAGTGAACACAACAGAGGCTCTCTCAACATGTTATTTACAGATTGATACTAACAAAGGAATTATTATGAATGAAAAGTAAAGTTGAGGAAAGGGTAATGATATCAGGAGAGTCATAGATATCATCACAAAGGACCTAACATTTGCACTGTACTTTGAAACTCTAAGGAATGGTCCATGAAGACTAGAAGGGAAAAGACATTCTGAATGGAAGGTGAGATAGCATCTGTGCTCCAGGATGTAAGGTGTGTGTTGTGCAATAGCCAGTAGACTACTACACATGTTACATGTGGGATGTTTGGAGTACCAGGCAAGACAATGTCAATTTTGGATAGTGACAGTTTGTGTGCTCTATTTCCAGGTCTGCATTCAGAGCAGTTTTCTAAGACAGGTCTTATAGTCATCTCAAACTCAGTATGAACATACTTTATATATAATTTGATATATTTCATCAGTAAGAAATACTATACCTATAGGTAGTTAGAAATGACCTAAAATTTCCCTTTTCTCATTCTCATTTCCTTGAAAGAGCCTCATCCTCTTTGCTACTCCATATTTTTGTTGTTTGACAACAGTTTGATACCTTCAAACAGTTATGATACCTTCAAACTGATTTCCCTGTTGTTACTTTATAGAACTGATAATTTCTGAAACTATGTCAGGTTATTGTCTGTTGGACTTGAAAATTTTTAGTGGGCCATCTATCTTCTTATTTTCAATAAAATGAAACCAACGTTCATAAGACAGGTTTCAATACTTTAAAAATAGTTTATGGAAAATTATTCCCAGTTTCATAAAGTTTGTGCATTTCATTTGCTTTTGTAAGCATCAGTAGGGCCATGTCATCTTGTTGGAAGCAGGGAAAATCAAACAAGCAAGCAAGCAAACAAAGAAACAAATAACAATCAATGACTTTTATTTCTTCTTTGAACAACGAAGACTTGAGTTTTAATCCTAACTGCCAACATACTGACCCTTTGATCCTGGGTCCTTATCTATGCTTTCTAGATGGGACTAAAAGAAGCTATGGGATATCCATCAGCTCTTGTTACATTGTTCTATCAAAGCATTGTGTTAGAGTACTTGCTTTTTCTCCATCTATCCCTCTCAGACAAAGCTTCTTCTTTCCATGTCTCAGGTTATGGAGATCCTTCGCAAGCTTGTGTACAAAACTTTACTATTGCCATTATGGAAAATGGTCAGGAGGTCTTCCAGAAAGAAAGACTAGTAATAGAGCTACCATATGATCCAGCTACCTCCTGCTGGGTAGCCAGTGAATTGTCAAAGTGAGATCACACCTCATGTACATTGTGGAACTGCTCAAAATTGCCAAGATGTTGTTTTGGTTTGGTTTCTACAACTGTGATAAATACTGTGACCAAAAGTACCCTGAGAGGAAAAGGTTTACTTTGGCTTATGACTCCCAGGTGAAATTGCATCACTGAGGGAAGTCGGGGCACGAGCTCAAGGCAGGAACCTGGAGGTATGAATGAAGCAGAGGCAACAGAGGAATGCTGCTGACTGACTTTCTCATGACTTGTATAGCCTATTTTCTCATATTATCCAAATTTGGCACCACCTACAATGGACTGGGTTCTTCCAAATCAATCATTAGTTAAAAATTATAACCCAGTGACTTGCTCACAGGCCTATCCTGCTAGAGAACTTTTTCAATTGAGGTTCCTCTTCACAAACGACTCTAGCTTGTGTCAAATTGAGTAAACATTAGTTGGAAAAGTTGACCCATTAACAACTTGAAACATTCAACAACAAAGTTTCCTTTCTCATTTGTCCCAAAAAGGAATGCTAATTTGAATATCACAATATAAACCATTTAAATTTTTTAAAAGTCCCACAGTCTTTAAAGTTTAAAAAATTTAAAAATTCAGTCTCTTTAAAATATTCAGTGTAACTCTAAAATTGTGAAGTTTCTTTAAAAATGTCAAAGGTCTGTTCCTATAAAAATCAAAATAGGTTAAAACACTTTCTTATCTCAAGAGGAAATAACCAGAGGACAGTCACTATCAAACCAAAGCAAAACAAAAGTTCTACACTACAAAGTTCAGTGTCAGCCTTCTGGAACTCACCCATAATCCTGTGGTCTCTAAAGGGCTTAGGCAGTTCAAGCTCTATTGCCCACAGTAGGTTCTGGCCAGCTTTATTCCATACCTGCTGTTATCCTTGGTAATCAGTCACTCAATGGTATTGCCATCTATAAAATACTTGGTCCCTCTGCAACTGGGTTGACCCTACACCAATAGCCTTTCCTGGAACTCTTTTTTCAGGGACTCTGCCTTACTACATGATGCCAAGCCTATATTTCTCTGAATAACCCTCTAATCCTGGACTTGTTCTGCAACTGAGGCTGCATCCCCACCCATGGCCTCTCCTGGCCTCTTACTGTATCAAATCTTAGTGGGCCTTTATGATCTCTTTATACCTTCAAAACCAATACCACCTAGGAGACTCTTACATCTTACCAAGTTTAGCTGCCAGAACTGGGTATAATCTTAGCTCCCTCTGTACCCTGAGGAACACTTGCCAGAAGATTTCCTTTCAGTGATCCAGGCTTCTTATTAATCACAGTTAATTCTTCAGTCACAACTAAACTAGAATCACAGATTTTTATTTCAAAGCATTGAATGGCCCCAACAGGGTCTATGAGGGCCTCTTAAATTTCCCTCTGAAACTTCACAAGCCATGCCACTGTCATCTATATTAATGCTGGCATTATCTTGTCAGTTTCCATAATAGCTCATTGTTCTTTGAACAATCAATTGCTTTTCTAGCCTAAAGTTCCAAAGTCCTAACACAATTCATCCAAACTAATCTCAGGTCTACCACAGAAATATCCCATGAATCTCGTATCAATTTTTGTATTAATTAGGTTTCTATTGCTGTGATGAAACACCATGATCAAGAATATGTGTGTGTATGGGGTGGGCAACACCAGACCACAATCTATCACTGTGAGAAGTCAGGGTAGGAACTCAAGGCAGGAACTGAAGCAGAGGCAAATGACCAGAATTATGTCATTTGAAACAATATAGAACATGGAGACATGGTGTAGTAAGTCAGGGACAAGATAACAAATACTTGTTTCACTTGGATGTGGAAGCTAAAACATTAAACTTGAAGAAGTAGGGAATAGGACAGTTTTTATCTGCACCTATTAAGGGTGTGTTGGATCGAAGAATGGGGAGGGGATGGAGAGTGGGTTGGCAGGTAAGCAAGGGTAGGAAGCATCTTTTACATGTTCTACAGTTGTCATGAACTATGGTTGACCACAATTAATGAATATTTAAAAACACATAGCAGAGCATACTTTAACTGTTTCCCAAACAAAGAACTGTTGAATGTCTGAAGTGATAGACATTCCAGTTTCTTTGATCTAATCACTGTGCAATGTATACATGTACTGAAATTCCTCTACACCCTGTATATAGGTCTAGTGGCCACATGTCAATTCATATAGGTTTTAAGAACTTTATGTATTTGCAGGTTTTGTCAGAATAAATTTTATAAAGTGAAAAAGCATTTTAACATGTTTTTTTATGCAGATTGGAGGTATCAGTCAGGGATTATATTCCCATTTTACAAAGATAAAACTGAAGCCATAAATTCTTTTAAATTTCAACCTCTAAAATTCACTCCTATTAGAACAGTCTTAATTTACCTAATCAATTTCAGAAAGAAAATGAATGTGTTTACTTTATCATGTGTCATTCTATTGCCCTCATGTGGACACTAGGAAATTGATCTCTTCCCATGTCATAATTATTGCATTTAAGAAGAAAATCAAATCTTTAAAATATTTCTAACTAGTAAAAAAGAAAATCCTAGAATGTTTTACGTTAGAGAACTATATATTACATTTAGAACTGTAGTAGTTTTGATAGTTCAATTACAAGTAATGAGGTGAGATTCTCTTTTAATGAAGATGTGAATTTGAGTGAGTAAAATTGAAAGGTATATTAAAATGAAAAGGCATAGAAATGATACTTGCATGTTATCTCATTTGAAGGGGTTATTTCCAAACTTCCAGAGTTACTCAGTATTTGTAGCACAGAATGAATTCTGTTTTTCATGGATTTTCTATTGCTGCGTTTACTAGATCGAAATTTCATGACAGCATCTGCGATCACACCATTCCCTTCTTTCCTGTAAGTCATCAGAAACAGACACTTTGAATACTTTTGCATTGTTTGAATGCTCTTCCTGATGAAACCATCTTACAAGAATACATTTGGGAACATATTTGCATTACAGTGGACACTAAACTCTATAATACTATCTCCCAAATTTGGTTTTGATACAACTCACCATAATCATCATACAGTATAGCATCTTGAAATCAAAATGCCGCCACCATGGGACTTTTAATAAACTATTTAGGTTTACTAATACACAAAGTCCAAAAATCTCACTATTTTAATTGGGTTTTTGTGACGATTAGATGTATAAATTGATATAGAAGTTTTGGAAAAATTGCATGGAAAACACTGTTACCTGTTATTAGACATTACCAAGTTGAGAAAAATAGTTATTGTCTTAATAAACTTAAAAATTGATGAGTATCCAAATTCATTTGCATTAATACATAGTTAATTTTCTGTTAACATAAACCCGTTCATCTGGCCATGGCAACAAATTTATAGTCACATGTTAAATTTTTATTTCTCTTTTGATTGATCTCAGAGACTCATTTTTCACAATGAACTTGATATAAAAAACCTAGATAAATTCTACTTATTTCATATCAATAATGTTATGTTTAAAGTGGGCCTCCAAAATGCCAATGCTGCTGACAATGTCCTAAACAGGACTCTGACTGGGTAAGCAGAAGGATTGTTATTAGGTAAACAGAAGCCTAAATTCAGCATTCCTCAGGGATTTTGTAAAGTATGTTTCCATTCATCATGAAAACCACTACCTTCTTTATCCACCTCAAAGGTCAACTAATCTAGTTGTCAAACAACTTATACCAGCTCTAAGACTCCCACTCTGCTGACCAGTATATAAAATTGGGCTGATTCCTAAGAAGCTGATGTTCTCTGTCCCCCAGACAGCAGTTTGATCTTATCCCAGAAAACCTTTCTTTTTACTTGTAGAGTAATCAGTTTGGTGATTTCATAACGCCCTCACTTACAAATAGTTAACATCCCTGCCATCTAGTGTTGGCTTGTGTACTGTCCAGTTTTATGCCAACTTGGCACAAGCTATAGGCATCTGCGAGGAGTGAATCTTGATTAAGAAAATGCTTCCATAAGATCTGGCTGTAGGCAAACCTGTAGGTTAATTTCTAAATTAGTTATTTATGTGGGAGAGTCCTGCCCATTGTGGGTGGTAACACCCCTGGCTGGGGATCCTAGGTTCTATAAGAAAATAGGCTGAGTGAGCCATGATGAACAAGATAGTAAGCAGCCCCCCTCCATAGCCTCTGTATCAGTGTCTATGTCCAGGTTCATGCGCAGTTTGAGTTCCTGCCCTGATTTCCCTCAGTGATGAACACTAATGCGGAAGTGTAAGCCAAGTTATCCCTTTCCTACCCAGGTTGCTTTTGGTTATGGTGTCTCATCACAATAATAGTAACCCTAACCAGGACAGTCTGCTTCCGTTTGGTAGAAGTGCAGAAGGCAAATTTGGCTTAATGTCTTTCATACACCTCTTGGTTTCCTTGTCCCATATCAAATGCCAGTAGATTTACCGTCTGTCCCAGGAACTACTTTAGTATATTTTTAACAAGTGAAAAACAAAATTTTCTGGTGCTAGGCATGAATCTAAGTTTCAGTAGTTAGCTGTGGTGAAATTTCACTGTTATGGTCAATTTAGATAGAACAATAGACACTGAACAAATAGAATTTGTATGATGCTAAATTCAAGCAATTTTAAAATGCTATGCAAATGTTAGAATGGTACGAATTTATTTCAGATTCAAAACTGAGCTCACATGATAGTGAGGAAAATTTCTAGTGTGAAAAACAATCTGTTAAGTTATATCTTCTAGAATAATACGCTTCCATTTAACAATTATATAGCAGCTAGAGGTGAGATCTTGGGTGAGTGAAACATATGGAGTTGGCATTTAGATTTCAAACAACTGAACTCTAGGGTGAAAGACCTCAAAACACTCCCCTTGAGACTCAGAATGTTGCCTCAGTGGAAAATTCCCCAAGGTCCCCTAGGCAGGGAACAAGGTCAGATCAAAAAGAACATCTGGTCCAGAGTGCTCATGCAGGAAACCGGCAGGCTGTTGAGATAAGCTTAATTTTGACCTTGTGGTTTCTCCAGGAAGGCTAAGTCATGCCCGCGCTTTTTACAAAAGCCCTATTGCTTGCCAGGATCTGCACCTGTGGTGGCTCCATTTCTTACAATACCCCTATTCTTTGCTTGCCAAGATTATGTATATAAAAAGAAAACAGTCCTAAAGCCCGGCACACTCAGCTAGCTAAGGCTGCTGGAATGCCTGCAGGTGCCTGTGTGAACAATAAACCTCTTGCAGTTTGCATCCAACTGTCTGGTTATTGAGCTCGGGACGTCGCTATGCTTTGGACCTGATTACCGAAGGTCCTTCATTTGGAGGATCCACCGAGATCCAATGACCCCTCTCAATAACCTAGACATAAGGAGGTAAGACAATTGATCTACCCCACCCCTTGTCTGTCTGTTCTTTTGTTTTTCCATTGTGGTGTGGTGTGCACTTTTGAATTTGAAAATGGGTGTCCAGTGAGGGAATTGATGAATTCCATAATCACTTGGTGCTGCCACCCTGGGAGACATCCCAGGGTGCCTGGGGTCCCGGTTTTTCGGGGCCCATTTTGTCTCTGAGGGTGAACAGGCCACCCTACTGGAGGACGAGCAGGAATTGCCAGCCTCTCCGTTTGTAAATCCGATCTGGCGTTTAGCCTGTTGTTTGTTTATGGTCTCTGTTATTATTGTTTGTCCTTTGTTGTTTTTGGAAAATCTTTTTGGGATGGGACAATCTCTAGCCACCCCTTAAGTTTGACTCTAGACCATTGAAATGACGTCTTAGCTCGAGCACACAACCAATTCATGGATACTAAAAAGAAGAAATGGCAGACTCTCTGCAGTTCTGAGTGGCCAACTTTCAATGTTGGTTGGCCCTGGGATGGTACGTTTAACCTGAATGTTATCTTGTAGGTGAAAGACAAAGTTTTTGATACAGAACCCCCACGGACACCCCGACCAGGTCGCCTACATCGTCACCTGGGAAGACCTGACCCACAATCCACCTCCGTGGGTCCACCCACTTGTTCAACCCCAAAAACCCAACCTCCTACCCAGCATTCTCAGCCCCCCTTTACCCCATCCACTCCTCTCATCCCATTACCCTCCATGCCAACTGACCCCCCCGTTTGTCCTCCTTGCTGCACATCTTGTCTGAGTCCATGGCGCAATGTGCGCACGGGCCTGTCAGATGCTAGCCGTGGTGGGGAGAGGGCGGGGACGCCAAGGGACCGCTTGCTGCCTGCCTCAGTCAGACACGATCAGCTCCAGTCTCAGACAGAAAACAGCCCCCAGCGCCACCTCCGTGGCCAAATGTGCCAGGCCCCAAAGGGGCCCCCACCCAACTCCCCAATGAGATTGATGCCGCCTTCCCGTTGGAGCATCCTAACTGGGACTACGCTACCCCAGCCGGTAGGGAGCAGCTCTGTCTCTATTGCCAGATTCTCCTTGCGGGCCTCCGGGCCACTGGGAGGCACCCAACCAATTTGGCCAAGGTAAGAGCAGTCACCCAGGGAGGGGAAGAAACCCCGGCGGTGTTTTTAGAGAGGTTAATAGAAGCATATCGTAGATATACGCCCTTCAACCCGGTGAGGCCGGAACGCCTAGGGAAAAATTATCATGACCTTTATAGGACAGTCAGTGTCGGGCATATGGACTAGGCTGCAGTGGTTAGATGGATTACAGGACTATACCCTTCAGGATCTCATGAACGAGGCAGAAAGGATTTATAATAAGAGAGAAACCCCAGAAGAGAAGGAAGAAAGACTAAGAAAGTTGCAGGAAGAGAAAGAGGAAAGGTTAATAAAGAAACAAGAGGAGAGGGAAGACAAGCATGATAAGAAACACACTAGGGAGTTAAGCAAAATCTTGGCCACTGTAGTTCAGCCTAGATCAGGGCCAGGGAGGCAGATGAGAAAACAGGGAGACATCTGGTACCCACGGATTGGCCGCGATCAATGTGCCTACTGCAAAGAGAAGGGACATTGGGCAAAGGATTGCCCGAGGAAACCAAGAGAACACAGGAAGCGTCCTCCCCAAGTCCTCTCCCTTGAGGACTAGGGGAATCAGGGCCAGGATCCCCACCCCCCTGAGCCCAGGCTAAATCTGGGACAGCCCCTCACTGTCATTATGCCCCCACGCTGTGGAAACCATCATCCACCAGCCGCCATGATTGTCAACAAATACTAGCTGAGGCTCATGGGACTTGCCCAGACCTGACCGACCAACCTCTCCTGGACGTGGATCTTATATGATTCACGGATGGGAGCAGTTTTCTCCATGAAGGTGAGCGAAAAGTGGGGGAGGGGGTGGTGATGGATAAGCGCCAGACCATCTAGGTGAGCGCCTTGCCCCCAGGAACATTGGCACAGTGGGCTGAGCTCATTGTGCTCACCCAAGCACTAAAAAGGCAGAAGGAAAGAGAGCTAACATTTATACTGACAGCCGGTATGCATTTGCAACGGCACATGTGCACGGAGAAATCTACCAAAGGAGGGGGCTGCTGACCTCAGGAGGTAAAGAAATTAAAAATAAGACTGAGATACTGGACCTGTTACAAGCCCTGTTCTTGCCTAAAAGCATTAAGCATCATCCATTGCCCAAGACACCAGGAGGGGGATAGCCCTATCGCTTTAGGCAACTGCCTGGCTGCAAGGAGGGCAGCATTTGGGTCCCAGATTCTGTCCCTGCGAACTGGAAAGGCTCAAACAGCCCCTCCCCAACCAAAATTCGCCTATACGGTGGTAGATCTGGCAGAAGTGCACGGAATAGGAGCCAAATATGACCTGGAGGTCCAAGGATGGAGACTTCAAGGGAAGCTGGTCCTATCCCAGAAGGACGCCAGAACCTTAATAACGGAGCTCCACTCTTGGACCCCAGACTGACAGTGGGGAGGCCAGCATGGGACTGATCTG